TCAGAGGAGCGAACCCGTGGTTTTTTTTGCCTGATTTTGGAGTCTAGGGTCTTAGGGTTTAGGGAGTTTTGGGCTTAGGGTTCCCCTGTTAGGAGTTTAGGGGTTTAGGGTTTCGGGAGTTTTGGGTCGGGTTTAGGGTTTGGAGGGTTTTTGTGAGGCCAACCGTCCTGCGCCGCTAACTTAAACCTATTGGCACACACCCCTAAAGTTCCAAATCCTAAAACCCTAGCTACTAAACCTCAACCCGAAACCAGGTGTTGTTGTAACATGGAGGTCGGAAAAATTGCAACTCATGTGGGTAGTTTTCTAATTTTGGGTCCCTTTTTGGGTCCCCAACATAGTACGGCACCCTTATGAAAAGAACCCCAAAACGGAACCTCATTTAGAGAACTACCCATGTGCCTTTAAAGTCCCTTCACAATCATACGAGACTCGATGCCTTACAGTGATGACGTAACGCTGCTGTCCTTTACCCCAAAATTGTTCTAATTCTTAAGGCCCTTGTATCACAACAGCATAGAATTCCTGTAATGGAACCGCTGAACCCGAAGCCAAAGCTCCATAGACAACAAGCCCTTCAACAAAAAGCCCTTCAGGATTTCGCGGACGTCCGCAGCGATTCCTCAAAAAACCATCCCAAAAGCCCTACAATGCACCTTCTAGACCCGGCTCAGGGTTTAGGGTTCAGGGTTTGGGTTTAGGGTTTAGGGTTCAGGGTTTAGGGGTTTAGAGGGGTTATAGGATCTCTCTATCTATTTCCTGAACTGAGGTCAAAACCCTGAAGCCCAAGGCACTGAGTGCAGGTTCAACTTCTTTGGCGTGCAAAGCTTTGGTCAACACGGAAAGTCTACGCCTTGTTGTGTTTCCAGCCAGGACGTCTACTTCGGCTGGATCGCAGAGTATGGTTTGCAGAGTGAGGCCCAGCGTGTCTTCTTCCGCATCTCGTATATGATAAACAGGTTCTTACCGTTTTCAGGGTGCTGTACGGTTTAGGGATGATTCTGTGAGAGTTGTGTTCATTTGCCTTCTGGTTAAAGCCTTACGCGTTCTTGTTTCAGGATTCAGGTATAGAGTTTTCACCACTTAACAGAAAGCCGTACCACCTAACAGAAAGCCGTCTGAGGGTTGAGGGTTTAGGATTGGGGCCCTAAGCCCTCAACCCTAAACTTGGCCCTAAACCCTAAACCCTGAACTTGGCCCTAAACCCTCAGCCCTGAACCCTAGCCCCAAGCCTCAAGACCCTAGACTCAGACATGTCAACAGAGTGACGTGCTCTCTATCAGACCGCCGGGCATGGAGCTCACTCCCGGAAGACCCGATTCCCGTTTAGAATTTAGGGTATGGTTCAGGGGTTTAGGGCTTAGGCATCATGGGTAGTTCTAGTTTAGTTGTTAGTAGGTCATACCTGCAGCCTTCGTTACATTAATCGTTGCAGCTTCTCGCAATTCCCTTCTGAACGGTCAGTTTCGGAGCCCCAAAACCTAAACCCTAAACTAAACCCTAAACCCAAACCCTAAACCCTAAACCCCCTTTGTAGGCGAGCCAGAGCCTCCCCCCTCCCCTCCGCCCGGGATGTCGACCATGCACAGGCGCTGCCGCCGCGCTGGGCCAGCGGCGTGGCTCCGTGGCGTCAAAATAGGGGCTGGCTGGTTACTATGGGTTCTGCAAGGGGCTTTGCCAATGCAGCTTAGGGTTCAGGGTCTTGGACATTAGGCTATTGATTGGGGTTTAGATTCTGATAGGATTTCGGCTAGTCTTAGTCCACGAGCAAAGTCAAACTTAGAGTTTGTAAGTTGGTTGGGTGTACAGACAAGTTTAACATGTTTGGGCGGATCGAGGGAGAGAGGAGGTTCCATGTTTGTTCTCCCCCAAGTTTGCAAATGGGGCCGTAGTCCATGGTTTCCTTGATCGGGAAGTGCCCCGAGAAAGATCTCCGATTGATCCGCAAACTGCGGCCCACTCAGAAGACGGCAGTTGTGAGGATTCCCTAATAGGGTTTCTAGGTCCAAAAACCATTCTGAGTATGGATTTGGGGACCTAAAACCTTACTATTTGGGTACTCGGACCTCTGGGATTGAGAATGAAGAATTGAAGTCGCAAAGCCCTAAACCTACAGTTTTCGTAACTTGGAAAGCTAGGCCAGAACGACCTAGGTACATGTGCAGTCCTACAGTTTTACCTTTAGTTTATGCTACACCCTGAACCCCCAGCCCTGAACCTAACCTCAAATCCTGAATCCTCCACGCGCTAAAGCCTAAACCCCTACAGCCCCAAACCCCTAAAGCACTAAACACTAAACCGCCAACCCTAAACCCTACAGGCCTAAACCCCTAAACTCTACAGGCCTAAACCCTTAAACCCTACAGGCCTAAACCCCTAAACCCTAAACCTAAGACCCCTAAACCCTAAACCTAAGACTCCAAAAAAAAAGACTCCAAGACGCTAAGCCCGGCTGCCTAAGCCCTATTAGACAATGATCCTGCGAGCGCTCAGACTACGGTTCGTGGTGTGAAACCCTTACTTGGCTGACCGGTTTAGGGTTTAGGGTTTAGGGTTTATGGTTTAGGGTTTAGGGTTTCCGTCTCCTTTTTTCGGGAAGCTTGGGTAGGTCCTTAAACTGAAGACTAGCAGCAAGGGTACCCTTTTCTACGGTGGATGGTACAAATCCTGCACTACCCATAATAAGGAAGATACCAGAACTCCCATAGTTTAGGGCCCTCAAGGTAATGCAGGGTTTATGCCATCAACAGTATAAGGGCATACTAGGGAGCCCAGTTCGTGTTTTGCGGAGTTTGCAAGTACGTCGAAGCATTGGCCTTGTGGGAAAATTCGGGACCTTAAGCCTTAAATCCTAAGCTAAATCCCAAACCGGGTTTAGGGTTTAGGGTTTTTAGGGTAGGCCCTAAACCCTGAACCCGAAACCCTATACTGAATGATCCACTCCAGCAAACTGGTAGTTTTCTAAATGAGGGTCCCTTTTTTGGTCCCCAATATGGTATGGCAGTCTGCCCTAAACCCTAAACCCGGGGCCACAAGCGCCTGCGGTCGCTATCCCCAAAAAATAAGAGGCTTAGGGTTTAGGGTTTAGGGTTCGGGGTTTAGGGATTAGGGCTTAGGGTTTAGGGTGCGGGGTTTACGGCTTTTGGGATGACTCCGAAAACCTGAGGAACCTGCTCGCCATTGTGCTGAGCTGCAGGGCCTGGTGGTACGGTTGATGATATAAATCCTGCATTACCCGTAATAAGGAATATACGGAATATACCAGAATTCCGATAGTTTAGGGTCCTTTTGTAATGCAGGATTTTTATCATCAACAGTATCACCTTCTCAGGTGTTCTTAGCATGCTTTTGGCCTACACTTAACCCGAAACATTAAACCTAAATCGACGTGGGGCTTCGTAGGGCGGCGGAAATCATTCTGGGTTGTCCCGTTCCAAAACCCTTGCAAGTTCACCCATGACGCCCTTCTGGAACGCTTAACCCTAACACCCTAAACCCTTAAACCCTTAAGCCCATAGTCTTATCCTAAGCCCAAAACCCTAAACCCTAAAGCCTCTAAGCCCATAATCCTATCCGAAGCCCAAAACCCTACAACCCTTAGACCCTTAAGCCCATACTCCTATCCTAAACCCTAAACTCTAAAACCCTAGTCTTGAACCCCTAGACCAGAGGACCCCAAAATCCCCCCAAACTCCCAAACCCGGAAACCCGAAATGCCTAGAACCTGAAAGGATCCCTTAGAGGAAAGCTTTTGAAGAGGAACGGGGTTAGGGGTTTAGGGAATTAGGGGTCAGGGGTTTAGGGGTTTAGGGTTTAGGGGTTTAGGAGTTTAGTGTTTGGGGGTTTAAGGTTAGGAGTTTAGGGGTTTGGGGGTTTTGGGCTTGGGGTTTAGGGTAAAGGAGAAAGCTAGAACCCCCGCCGCCCCCCCCCGCCCAGTGCCAGCCTAGGATGCTCAGACCGGTCGCAGGGGCCTCTGCCTTCCTCGCGGGCTCAAGGGTTTAGGGCTCTTGGGTTGAACGGGTAAAGGGGGGTTTACGGTTTAAAGTTTAAAGGTTTAGGGGCTTAAGGGTTCAGGGTTGAGGAGTTGAGGAGTTTAGGGTTTAGGGTTTAGGGTTTGAATGTGAGTGTGTGTAGGACTCCTTGGGAATATTGGTGAGTGCAGCATAGTCTTGGTTTTCTCATGGGGAGACCGGTGGTGGTGTCGGCCACAACCCTAAACCCTGAACCCTAAATTCAACGACACTTTGGGGATGTGGCCCATCGCAAACGTGTGCTTTGAGATCCGAGAGCTCTTGTGCAGTAACGTTCTGGCATCCAGCTCTAAACCAGAAGGGGAAGGGTTTTGGGTTTTGGGTTTAGGATGGTGGGAGTTTACTGTAATAGGGTTTTTTTGGGGGGCTCCTTGTTATGCTTGTTATACTATACTGCGAATGATTAATGACCCTATATTAGAGTTTGTAGGCACTATGAAGGGTCCAACCCTAAACCCTGAACCCAACCCAGCCACCCAGTCAGGGTTCGAGGTGTTAAGATTGAGGATTTCGAGACTGCAGCATTCACTCGTCAGGGGGGGGGTTATTCACAGATCATGGTAGTTTTAGGATGTTTTAGGGTTTAGGGTCTGTTCTTTGTGTCTGGGATTTCTGAAATGTCCGCAGCGTGACTTGCTGCACGTGTCTTCTTATAGGCTTGGGGTTTAGGGTTGTGCTTGTTGTCTTCGGGAGCCTTACAACATCTTGTAGATGGAAGTTTGCCAAGAAAGCTCTGTTCCTGTGATCTGTGAAGCAATGTAGACCTGCAATAAGCCCATAGAAGTCCAAACATACCCTAAACCCGAAACCCTAAACCCTAAACCTTACTGAGGGTTTGAGGAACCTGCTTACAAAAGGCCCCTGAAAAGGAAGTCTCAGCCCCGAACCTCATGTCATGCGAGGCAAACTCTTTGCCTCTATCACTGGCAACTCAAGAACGTATCCCTGCTCGTCCACCTCGCGAAGGACATGCTTCCGATGCTTCCGAAGGACCGGCCACGTTTGACCATCAGCTGGCTGTCTGCGCGCGCCGCCGCGCTGTACGCCGATGTGAAGTATGGATGGATGTGAATGAGCTTGCAGAGGTCTACATTGCAGTGAGTGTGGACGCGCCTGCACTGCCAACACGCTATATACCCACAGCCCTAAACCTTATACTGTTCTACCTACAGCCCAGAAGCTAAATCTCTGGGAATTCGACACACAAACCGCATTAGGAACCCTAATACTTGGTAATGTTCAGTCATTGTTGGGTTAGTTTTCAATCTTGGGGCCTTCTTGCGTTCTGCTCTTATTGTTCTACTGGATCTACAGGGATCTCCAACCTCCGAATAGCTATCCGATATCCTTGACATTGTGCTCCAGGCATCTACTACGTCAACACAGACGATGGCACGAGCCTTTTGTCCGAAATTGGCGTCTCACTGGGTCCAACTTTGCTGGTGAGGACCATGGCTATAGTCACTTTTGATGGTGGCAATGATGATGACGATGGCGGCAAGGGTGCTGACACACGGCGTGAAAGCTATCACTGCGATCACAACATGTCTACAGCTGTGACGTTTGTCTTCAAGTCTCAGGAAGTCGTATCACCACCTTTTGCTTAGCTTCAAAAGTTCCACCTTTCTCTCGAGCATGTTACAGCCCCCCAAAGCTGCAAGCCTGCTAAAATCTTCGACCCGCCATGCAAAGTTGAGTGATTTGTTACGGGGTGTAGTTGTTGGATGCTTCAAGAGATAGACCCTACAGAACCCCTGAAGGACCCCTATGTATTGAACCCTTAGAGGACACATGTTACCTAGTGTTCAGGCTGTCGGCTCTCGGGCCCTCATCCAGATACATGAGAGAACACCCAGAATGCTCGTGTCAAAGATTCGGATCACACGCAGAATTCTGATAAAAGGCCTGAGTTGAGCTAAGCCCTACACCTTTTAATTTTAAACGCTGCGCGTCGTCCGCCTCGGCCCGGCCGTATGTTGGGAGGAAGACATGATGCCAGGTCTGGGGCTTTTGCTTTCGCAGGATATCGGGGTGCAGCGTCTGCGGGGTGAAGAGTGATAGGGTTTGTGCATAGACAAACTATATATAACTATATATATATATATATATATATATACATATATATATATATATGCTAGCC